AGAAGATTAGCCCTGAGCTAACACCTGTTGTCAATCCTCTTCTTTTTTGCTGAAGAAGATTGGCCCTGGGCTAACATCCATGCACATCTTCCTCTACTTTATATGGGACGGTGCCACAGCATGGCTTGATAAGTGGTGTGTAGGTCTGTGCCTGGGATCCGAACCTGGGAACTCCGGGCCGAAGTGGAGTGCACGAACTTCACCACCACGCCACCAGGCCAGCCCCCTGAACAGGGTAGTTTTTATGTTACAGCTGACTGTAAGGAAGTGAGCTCTGGACAGTGTTTCCCAGCGCTCCAAGCTGTTACCCAGAAAAGAAGGCTTGAAGGCAGGGCCTTTGAGGTAGCAGTTTCACACTTAGTTAGGACCCTCATCTGGAATGTTCTGAATTTCTGGACTGAGGCTTGAGGGATTCTCCACCCCATCTTGCCTCTGTTTTAAGGCACTGCCACAGTTCCCCACTGATGGGGGAGGTTAACAGGGACATGATGGTCCATCTCAATCTGGGCAGGAGTAGGAAACGGAAATTCACATTTTATTCACCGCACATATGATTCAGTGTCTATATCGTAAAATGGTCTGGTAAAAATCTTTTGGCAACTACTATTTCATTGACATACTGACTGAAAGAAGTCAGACTTTTGCTATAAGAGGTTATTTTAAGGATGTAGCGAGGTATTACGTGACTCTTCACTAAATGGCCCCAGATTGTAGTACTTTTTATATACTTGGGGCCAGCTAGAAAAAAAAAAGTTGATTCAAACATCACACTATCAATCAAGTTAAACTCCAAATGACTTAAGAATTTAATATTAAAATTTGACACCATAAAAGTACTTCAAAAAAAATAAAGTCACCTCAGAATGGAGAAAGACCTTCTAATGATGACTGAAAATCCAGAAACCGCAAAAGAAATATATGGACAAAGTTGATTATATAAAAGCCAAAGAGGGGGACGACCCAGTGGCGCAAGCGGCTAAGTGCGCGCACTCGGCTGCGGCGGCCCGGGGTTCACCGGTTCGGATCCCGGGCGCGCACCGACGCACCGCTTGTCAAGCCATGCTGTGGTGGCGTCCCATATAAAGTAGAGGAAGATGGGCACAGATGTTAGCTCAGGCCCAGTCTTCCCCAGCAAAAAAGAGAAGGATTGGCATTGGATGTTAGCCCAGGGCTGGTCCTCTTCACACACACACAAAAAAAGTCAAAGCAGCAGCATAAACATGGTTAAAAGACAAACCATAAATTAGGAAAAAAATATTTGCAACCCATATTGCTGATGAGGGTTCTCTCTCAATTAGGAAAAGACCAACAACGCAGAGGAAGACTGAGCAAAAGATATAAACAGTTTACAGCCAAAGAAATTCAAATTCAAATTCACTTATAATAAGAGAAAGCACATTAAAACTACACTAAGACACCATTTTTCTTCACCTACAAGGCTAAAAAATGCCTAAGTGTGACAACACACTGTGCTGGGAAAGCTGTGGAGACACAGGCTCCACACGTGTTGTTGCTGGAAACCCACAACAGGGAGGGCAATGTGGCACCACCCACCGAAATTACCAATGCACACAGCTCATGATACAGCCAATTTCTTGAATTTATCTTTTTTTTTTTTTTTTTTGCTGGGAAAGATTCACCCTGAGCTAACATCTGTTGCCAATCTTCCTCTCTTGGTTTTTTTCGTCCCCAAAGCCCCCATATATATTGCATATTCTAGCTGTAGGTCCTTCTAGATCTTTTATGTGAGCTGCCGCCACAGCATGGCTACTGACAGACAAGTGGTGTGGATCTGCACCCGGGAACTGAACCCAGGCTGCTGAAATGGAGCGCACCGAACTTTACCACTGGGCCATCAGGCCTGGCTCTTGAATTTATCCTATAGAGAGACTTCTCCACTTGCAAAATGACACATAAAGTTCTTCACCACCGCACTGTTTACAACAACAAAAGACTGGGAATGACCAAAACAATAACCACAGGGGAGTGGTTCAACAAATCACGACACATCTATACCAAGCAATATCATGCTTTTGTAAAAAAGAATGAGGAAACTATATATGCATAGAGAAAAACCGGGTTAGGTGAAAAAAAGCGAGGTTTATGACAGTGTATGCAGTATTCTACTGTGTAAGAGGAGATAAGGGGATACAGATTCACAGTTGCTCATATTTTATACACACACACACAACAATCTCTGGAAGAACAGACAACAAACCAGTAGTGGTTACCTATTTGCGAGGAGGTAGGAAGCAGGGTGGCTAGGTGACAGGACGGAGATCTAGGGGTTTAAATAATTTTAAACTTTTTTATTTTTGAACCGTGTCAAGTCTTACCTCTTCAAAATTGAAATCAACAACTTTTTTGAAAAATTAAATATTTGGGTCTGATTTTTACTGCTTTTTCTTCTCCTTCTCCTTTAGGGGATAATCGGCTATGTCTTACACGAACCGTCAGCCTCCTTTAGCGATTTAGCGAGTCCACTCTCAGCCTGCACAGGCCCCTTCCTCCGCTGGGGAGAGGCCTGTCTAACAAGTGAGGTGAGACAAACAGCCAAACGGTACTACCCTGAGGTGGATGTGCATGCAGGGACTTTTGTTCGGAGGGTTGCTATTCAGGCAGCTCTTTGGGCTCTTCTCCTGATTCCCCACCACATCTTGCACGGGACGCAGGCCAGGAGAGGAAATGAGTGGACAGAAAGGGGCAAAGGTGGGAGACAGAGGCTGATGGCAGTGCTTCCCTGATGTGCTCCAGCTCCCGGAGCAGCCTGGCAGAGGAGGCAGGGGCCCTGTCCTCCGGAAAGTTTTTTTACAGAGCAGCGAGGATGGAACTGGGTCAGGAGGCTGCCACGAAAGCTCCCGGGGATAGAAGCGGGAAGGAGAGGAGGAAGTGGGCTGGTGGTCTTCAGTACACAGAACCCTCAGGAGGATGAGGAACTGCAGGCTCTGGAGGGACAGATACGGCAGGGTGGCCAGCATCAAGAAAGGCTGAGTCTTTGAGCCCCTTGAGGACAGGATCTATATCGGGCCCATCTCTTCATGGAACACACAGTTAGCACAGCATGTGGAACAGTGAGGAGAAGAGGCAGGGCTCAGGCCTCAGACCACCGGGGAGTCCCACCTGAGCCCCTAAGCAGGGTGGCCTAGCCAAGGAACTTCTCAGAGCCTCCGTTTCCTCATCTTCTTAACGGGGAGATATATTTCACACACTAAGCATTTTACATATACTACCTCATTGAATCTTCACAACAACCCCATGAAAAGGAACTATCATTAGACCCATTTTCTAGATGAGGAAATTGAGGCTCAGAAGGCTTCCGGAAGTTATTCAAGATCACAGGACCAGGAAGAGATAGAGCCACAGTTAGAACCCACAACTCCCTGAACCAAAGACTGTCTTTCTTAGCTACTATGCTATAAAAAAAGTAAAGTAAAATGTATGATTCATAATCAGGTGAATTCTATAAATATGTGCAGCTTCCCAAGATGGCTCTCAACTTATAGACCTAAATGAAACTGATTGCATGTCTCCAAGCTTCCGGCACTCAGAAGCAGAGAAGAAACCAGAGGGCCCGAGTACTTTGTAACAAAATGCCTCTTAGGATCTAAAATACATCTATAAGGAGCCCACTGCCACATTTGGGGCCAAGTACATAAAATTAGAGTTAATACAGTCCACCTGGCTATGGCACCATTTCTGGAGAGGACTTAGAAACTGGATGAGCATTTATCTTTGTGCTGCCCATGAGGTGATGCTGGCTTTTTAAAGTGTTACAGTGAAAACCACATTATATTTATAATGGACTGGGCATCAAAGTTAGGCATTTATGTGACGTCCAAGGTTTTCTCTAAATTAAGATTAGATCTTTGAATCTATAGCTATACAGAACGGTTCCTATTTCAGTTTTTACCCTTGGAGTGTTGCAAATGGATTAGAAATGGAAGACTACAGTAAGTAGAAAGAGATCATCAAAAGAATAATTACATTACCAGTGTCAGCAGATATTGCCTTTCCCCACAAGGCCAAAATTGCATGGTACAGCTTAAAAGAAGATAGACCAGGACTTTCTCATTAATCTTTCATAATTCTTGGACTCTACCTTCTCCGATCTCACAGGTATACCTGATTGTAGTGGACGGATATGTAAAATTTCATCTCAATAATCTGATTTACTCACAACCAATGGAGACAAATCATTCCATGTAAAAATTCTAATGTTAATCCTATAAATTGGCTCATTGAAAGTAATAAGGGACTACTCACAACATAATATTGATTAGTGAATTAGCCTAATTAGCAATTTAACATTAAAATACTAATTACAATATTAAGCAGAGTTTGCCTAGGATAAGCCTTACAGAAATATTATCAAGAGGCTCATGTGTGGTGATGAAGATTGCACAATCCTGACTTCTAAAGGTTTATTATACATGTTTCCAGGACAATACTTTTTCCAAATAGTCAAGTTATCTAGAACTCATGTTTTTATTTTTTTTTAAATTGCACTCTTCTTACAGAAAAATATATAACATATCCCTACTTGCTCACTTCTCTCTTCCCTTCTACTCTTTATCCCTAACTTATCTATAAATTTAGGTTTCTAAAAGATATTCTTTCACTTGTAAGGCTAAATGCATGCATGATGTGTTTTTTTTTTTTTAAAGTTCTAAAACATGCTTTGGAAAGAAAATGGATGCAACTGACATACAGACACACAAACACAGAACACCTCCAGGATGTTATCATCCTAGAACCAAAAACACACCCCCCCCCCCAAAATTGCAAAATAAAGCAAAGCAAGCACACATAGGAAATACTTTAATTGGTACCCGCAAGCTGCATTGGTATTTGCAAGTCTTACTTTTGGGAGTTGGGGTAGAACAGGTGAGTTTCAGCATCGTGCTGTCTAGAGGACTTTAATCCCCATGGCAACAAAACAAAAATCCGGCAAGCCAGTCCCGGCCAAAGAGACGCCCCCCTCAAGCTTGACCGCCCCTCACCTGCTCCCCTTCTCTCCTCTCTCCCCAGAAGAAGGCACTTCACGGAAACGTCTGGGAAAGCCCTTGGACTTTATTTTGTTACACCCTCTAAACGGACAAAAAACAAAAGAGAACAGGTGTAGAAGACAGTACTTTCAATTGGCCACCAAGAGTTCCACACAAATACCCTCCCTTCCCATCTAACACAGACACACCCCATCATCAGGCCTCATTTGGGACATTTTCAAAAGAGAAAGCTAACACGCAAAGGTGGCTGGGTTTATTAAAGCTTTTTACATTGAGATAAGAAATATGAAATGGGAACTTTGCTCTTAAAAAGCTGTCTTTACATATTAGAACATACTAGAACCCTGTATTACTTCTGCTATTGACAGCAGGTAAGGATACCACAAACCGTGTGAGGACCCTTCTCATTCATACACCTATCCTTCCACCTTTGACACAATGCCCTGACGAACAGGATCGCTTAAAATACCATTAGAATAAATAGAACTTGGCAGAAATCTACCGGATACCATTTGAACCCCCTTCTGCCACAAATTTCTCTGAATTTGGTGCTGTTAGATAAATCTGGGGTTTTGTCTTTTCCCTGTGCCTTCCTCTCATCTCTGGACAATTCATTGATTCACAAAACAGATTATGGAATACACAGGAGAGGCACTCAAGAGAAGGTGAGGGTAGTAGTTGGCAAGTTATTACTATAAACTAAGTCTAATATTTAGTTTCCCTTTAAAACTTAAAGAACCATAGCATCTGAGATGTGGCTATAGTATTTGAAAGACGCACTTCTGTCACACAAGAACACTTGAAAGTGTTTAATTATATTTAATCCTCAAACCACTTGGGCTATAGGATTTCACACTGAAATGATTCCTATTCTTTCCAAACTCTGTTGATAAAACAGCAAAGACAAACTTGGATATACGGAAGTTCTCTTATAGAAGCTCTGTTGAATGCCATTCAGAAATCTGGATTCAGGTATGTAATTCCAAAGATGTTAATTTCTGATTCACTTGGTGGCTTTTTAGTTCTAGGAATGAACATCCTCTGATTCTTAAGTGTTAGATTTTTCTTCTCCTTTAATACAAGCTTTCATTTATTTTGATGATTATTAGATTCCACATTGGGTAAAACTGCTTGGCAAAGGAACCAAAATTTGGAAAAGTCAGAACTTGAGAATATGATTTCAAAGTGTGTGGGGGGGGGGAGGAGTGAGGAGGAGTGTGCTGTAATTCAGAACTTCTTGTCTCCCTCTATTGAGTACATTCTGGAACTACAACAACTGTCCTCAAAACATCACCAACATACTCTGTGGCTACGAACATTAATCTGAGGAAATCACGAGTATGTTGGAGTGTTTTTGTAAATTTTCATAAAAACTTGAAATTTGCAGCTTCCTAAAATATTTAGACTTCTTCTCAACCCTTAGCCCTACTCTGAATTCTGCCAGATTCACTCCTTCGGGAATTTTGGAGCCGAGCCGGCTATCTCCGCAGTTTTTCCTCACACACAATCACAAGCGCTTAAAACTACCACCCGTAAACTGACAACACTTTGCTGGGAAGCAAATGCCATAAAACCAATAACTAATATCTCGAATAATCAAGGAAGCCACCTGAGCAAGCCAACGGAACAGACACAATCAACTCTGGGAGAGAGGACATTTAATTCTAAGAAATCCGAAGAAAGGTGTTGGTTATGCAGAATAGACTGGACACAGAAGGAGTTTCCCTTTCCTGAAAAGCGAGCTTGGTCTAAAAATGTATCAATCCTCTTCTTCCTTAACAGGATCAGTCTGGTCTTTTAAGTATCATGGAGTATGTTTAAATGGCAACCTTTAGCAGTGAATCTCTCCCTGCTTTTGTCTAATGACTGCGTGTTAGCCTGTTCCAAGAGCTTTGACTGGCATCTCAGGGCCAACTCGACAGCAGGGGGCCGGTTACTATAACAACTGACGGTTCTCGTGAATTCTGAAAGGCCCCCCGAGTAGCCATTTGGGAAACAGTTATTGAGCAAAAAGTTGCATGGAATCGGCAGCATTAGCTGCCACATGACCCAGATCTCCCTGCACACAGCTGCAGAGAAAGAAAAAAAAAAAAAGAGGTGTCCACCTCTAGGAGCAGCTGGGGACCTCAAAAGGCTCCCCACCCCCATGCTTTTAGCGTCTCAGAGCAAGACAGTTTAACACCATAGTGTCATCAGAAACTCAAACCCTCTGAGGCAAGCCACATTTTGGCATCGTAAAATGTGCTTTAGCTCTATCCCCACTGGCTTGACACATTGTCAGGCTTTGAAGAGCTGAACTGTAAAAATTATTCCTAATGATTTAAAAAAATTCTTGAAATATGGCCACAGATACCAGGTTCCAGAAAGAGATGACGATATGGGCAGTCATCAGTTTTAAAAGAAAAAATGATGCCTGGAATATGGGTGGTTCCGGGAGTGGTCTGTTTGCAGAAAAGATAAAGGTGATCACACATATTTCCAAAAAGTATGACTTGGAAGCTTGGATTTTTCTAGACTTGAGAAAAGTTGTATATAAACCTACCTTTTGATTCTCATTCCTTCTCTCACTTGAGCCACACAAGAGCAGCTTGACTGACCCAGGGCCTTTGTACATGCCAGATCTCCTGGAAAAATATCTGATTCTACCCATGAAAGTGGACTTTATTTTGCATAGAAGAAGGGCAGTTTGAGGGCGTTTTCACTCTGGCAGTACTGAACACACAATGACCGAGTAGTGCTTCTCGGTCAGCTCTGACACAGTGCTCTCTGCCCCGGGCATTTGTCCCTTTTCTCTGTTCTGTGAAAATCACAGCTAAACATCCTCTCCTCCACGAAGCCTTCCCTGGCTCTGTCTCCCTCCTGCCCCAGGCTGGTGGAGGTCAAGTTCCTCCCAGAGCATGGCCTCCCCTCATCACCACTGCAACTCTGAGACACATTCAACCTCCACAGGGGCCAGTCAAGGAACTGCTGGTGGGGGCTGAGGAAGAACGTTAGTTCTGTCCAGCCTACGGGTGCCACAAGGGAATGAGGGAATGAGCGAACGATGCTGCCAGATCTCCCTATTTATCATGAGAACCCAGACAGCTAGGGTTTTAAATAAAATCTTCCTATTTTCAAACTAATTCAGATTTTTAAAAACAATGTCAGCTATATAAAACAGATCTGAAGGTCACCATATTTGACCTCTATTTGAGATAACCTTTATCTGCTCATCTCCTCCATTAACCTACAAGTTCCTTGAAGACAGGAGCTCCATCTCCTCACTGAATCCCCAGTGCCCGGCACAAACTAGACGCTTAGAAAATGTCTTTGAACAAAGGAAGGAATAAATGGGCCAGCCGTAAAGGGTCTTAGGTCAACAAAACCAAACTCTAAGTGTGAGTAACTCCAAAATAGGCCATGTGATCTTAGGCAAGTCATTCTCCTTCTGGAAACTGTCTCCTCCCTTGAGAAGAAGGTGAGCAGTGCCTGACACCTTGGCTACCCACATGGCTGCTGTGAGGATTAAATGCTGTAACGTTTGCTTTGTATTAACCCAACCGTTATGGGTTGTTGTTATTGGCCGTGTTTCTCCTTTGCTGTCCGTTCACAGTCACACACATGGCAGAAATCATTCCTTTCGCACCCGTCTCCCTGTGACTCTGCTGGGATGGAAGAGGGACAAACAGCTAAACTGAATCCAGTCATCAGCGAGTCAACTTGGAAGCATTGGCTGCTAGAGCAGATGGGCGGAGCGCGTGCGCCGGGGCTCTCAGCAGCTCTGAGTGTCATTGTTGCCACTGCGGGAATACAGGAGGGATCCACATTCCACTGGGGCACATGTGGTCAGTCATTCCGTGAATGAGAGAGGGGTGTCAGCACATGCCCACACTTGACTTTCACATGCATCTGCTTGTTTGCCAGAGCCTCCACTATGCTAACACAAGCCCCCACACATTTGTGGTTTGCATCCCTTCCTATTTATTACACTGTCTCCCACTGAACATCCAGGAAGAAAAACCATTGCAATGTCAACAAAACTCACTTGTTTTCGTGAACAGCATTCTTAATGAGGAGGCACCAACACATGGCAAAATTTCTGAAAGTCTAAAGATGAGAGTAAAAGAGAGACTTTTTCTCTATCTGCATATGAGGCTCAATTGCTGTTGACTGATTTACCACAGAATTCACAGATGGCTCGGTCATGTGCTGAAGAGAGACACGAATTTCTCAGATCAGAGCGTGGAATTCTTCTAATCCCAAACTTTCACAAACCTGGGTCAGATGTTACAATTCCCATTAGATTTTACAGTTTTCCATTCCAGAATCTGTGTAGTTAGTTGGCTCAGCCCTATCTGAATCTGAGAAGAAATGCTGCTCTGTGCTTCCAGAAAGTTCTTTTCTAAGCTAGAATTATGGTCAATAAGATGCTCAATTTGTCATCAAGGTAATATAGCACTGATTAGCTGGAACTACCACACAACAAATAGGTTATAGTATTCAACATCAAAATCTATTCAGCTTTTAGAACACCTGAAAATATAGTTGGTCAAATTTTCTCCACGTGATTTTGGCAAATCCAAACCATAGGATCTTTTCTACACATAAACACGCACTATAAAAAGAGGCTGTGGAAGGAAGTAAATGCCTCCAGGCATGCTACTCCTCATCTAGGCAAAATAATGTAATGGCTAAGACATTGAGCTATGAAGTCAAATTGGCTGGGTTCAAATCCAGGATCCACCAAAGATTAATTAACATTATGACTTAAACATGTCACCTGATCTTACTAAGCTTCAGTTTTCTGATCTGCAAAATGGGTGTAATAATTCCTAGGATCTGTAAGCTGATTAGGAGGGGATGTAATCTGCTTAGCACATGTCTGGTATGATGAATATTCAATAAAAGATTCTTGGCTATATAGGCCTTAAGATATATGAAGCCATTTCAGGGGTGAAACTGCTCAGAGAGAGAAGAGCTACCCTTCAAGGCAATCTTCCTCAAGATTACAGAAAAAGACAAATTAAAAATATCTTTGCAATATGCACAATTCGAAGTGGACGCTAATGTCTTGCTCACAGTAGCTAAGCTATTCTACGGAA